CCCCCCCCACCTTTTAATCATGTTCACATGGATAGGAAAACTAAATTGCACATATCTTTCGTCATTATTTTTGTTTTGGTGGTCATTGCCACAACCGTGCACGCATACGCGGTCATTGTAAGATATCTGGTTAAGAGGTTTGCTTTTTCTTTTGCAACCATTGAAAGAAAGGCCAAATGAATGGGCTGTGATTTTAGCGCAATTTAGTATTTTAAGCAGCGGGTAATAATTTGTACGGCCCCCTCGGAGGATGTAGAAAAAATTTTGAAATGGCCTGGAGAAAAGGTTCCCCCACCCCGCTTAAAGGAAAGACAAGAAGAGAGAGAGGGACGGTGCCTTGAAAAAGATAAAAAGATGAGCAGGCTCTCCTGTTCATTGTTGTATTAAAGTATTGTGGTGTATTTGCTCGTATTACTTGTTGCGTTAGAAGTTATATTTAAATGAATTTGCATGTGAGGAAGGTAAAGTACAACTAAAGGACAAATGAAGAAAGAATGTAGCTAAGTGAGAAGTGACGGTGGAAAAGAGACATTTTTACAAGGGAAAGGAAAACAAAACGATGGAGGGAATTTAAAACCAGAGAGACAGAATGGGAAAGAAAGGAAAAGGGGGAGGAAGATATGGGAAGGAGAGGAGAGAAGAGAGGAAGGGGAGATGAGTGGTAAAAGATTAAAGGAATATTAGTGGAGTATACACTAATATATTAATATATATATTAGTAGCAGAGCCTATATAAAAGAAGAGGAGAGAAAAACCAAGCTGGTACATTTCGAAAGAAAAATAAGAATTCAATATTCAAAAAAAATATGTATAAAAGTGAAATCTGAAAAAAGTATTTTTGGGCTTTTATTTGCGGCTGGAGGGAGTGCGGGTCGTCTTTCAACCCACGGAGGGTTGTGGGTTACGATCCCAGCCCAATGCAGTCAACATATCGATGTATCCTTGGGCAAGATACTTAAACCCTGAAGTTGCTCCACGTGGCATGGCCAACGGTGTTGTGAATGTGTATGCATGTTAGTTCCTTGGACCTAGAGTTAACTACCTGGCTCTGTATGGAATGGGTGTGAATGGTGAATGACATGTAGATATGAAAGCCACTTTGAGGGGTTCTTAAAGAACATGGATAAAGCGTATTATTTAAGTACAGTTCCATTTAAACCATTTCCATTTTATTCAGAAAAAAATTGCGAACTGATCAAAAATAATATTCAACCTGAAAAATGATTTCAAATACTTTATTTTTTATTTTGAATACAATGCATTGTATTTTTCAAGTTTCAGGATAAAAACTTGGAACTTTCAAGTAAATTGTATTTTTTTGATTGATCGAAAACTTATGACCCTGAAATAGCTCCATACATTCATTAAACAGCAACAGGAAAGCTGTGCAGTCCTCTCTCTAATACTGACCTCATATTATGCATGTTTTCAACATTACGGCACGCGGATGACTTTTACAAAGTGCTAAAAACTACAGAGAAGAAATTTCACTGCATTTTCACACTTTTATCTATTTTCTTATATTATACATTAACAGGGATACCTTAACCTTCTCCCTCAATTAGTTCCCTCTTTAGTTTGTCGGTTGTGTTGTTTCAAGAATTGCGTAAACAGATGTGGAAAATTGTGTATCTTTATTAGATTTAACAAGTGACC